TGGTAAACAGGCTCTTTTTTATGTTTTCTTTTCATGCTAGCAACCTTAACATGTGTCTGATAACAAGAAATCATTATAAGTTATTGTTATCAGCCTTAACCAGTGCTTTAAATTAATTATTATTTTTACATTTTTCGCATAACTAATTTTATATATTGTTACATTAAAGCTATGCTTTGATATAACAGTATATAAAAATACATTCTACAATGTTTTTTTAAATTTAAAGTTTAAAAAGAATTTTAAAAAATAATATATATTATCAATTTTCATACTTTTTGTTTTGTGAAGTTAATTGATTTGGCAAGTGAGCAGTTCATATATAACAAGGGAATGACCCGCAAGATTCTTAACCTTTTGGACTTGGGACCTTCAAACTTCAAGAAATGCAAAAAAATGTTGGGGGGTTTTTCTGTATGTACAGATGTTAGTGTAGAGGGGCACAATTTTATTTGTCCTCTTTGAAGGTTAATAACTCCCATGCATTTTGTCAAAAATTTCTGAAATTTTGGAGGGAGGTTTGTGTATTAGGGGATTGATGCTATTAAATTTTGGTGGTTAAAGGTTGATGGGGTGAAGATATATAGGGGTTGTGCCAAATTTTGAGTAGAGTTGGACTTAATGATGACTACTTGTTATTAGCATTTATAATTTTTTTATAAAACCAATCTCTACCCTCAAAATTAAGCTTTTTGCCACTTTATAATACTTAAAAATATAAAAAGCTTTTAATAATAAAATATCATAACAGAAGGCACCCATAGTCTTAAATGTTGGGAAAGTTAAGTAACTCGTTGCTGGATTTTTTCTAATTTTAGTCATTTACTTACTTTGTACAATGTTATCAGTTGATTATCATCAGTTTAGGTGAGTCCCAAAGTGATTACAGTAAATGACACCTATTGTAATTGATTGCTTTGCATGAAACTAAAGAAATTTCAAATATTTTTGAATTAGTTATTTAACTTCTTTCAGATGTTGAGTTTACATTTCAAAGTTTAATTTTCAATTTTTCTATTTGAAATTTTAATTGTAAAATTTTTCTCTTGTAAGAGAAACAAAAACATGCAATGCATAGGCATCTCTATAAAGTTAAAAAATATTTGATAACATTAATCTGTTTATAACTTTTAAAACTATAAATATATAATTTTAGAAAATTATATTTAAGTAGAATTATAAGTATTATATAGTTAGAAGTTTTTAGTATCATGTAGAAAATGGCTAATTACAATATGAGGGCTGTTCGGAAAGTTTGCGGCCTTGCTTATATGCAGCGCTGTGATCAATTTAATTTTTGGCAGGAATAATTCAGCCATTTTTGCTAGAGATACGATACCAATTTTTGCTTGATTTGTCATAGAATAGTATTGGAATAGAATAGTGATTTAATGTCTCAGACTTGAATTTCTTAACTCAAATTTTTTTCAAGTCAAAGTTTTTCAAGAGGTCCTCTTGCTTTGTCTCAACAAGATATACCTGCAAAACTGTTCAATTCCATTAGTTACATTGAACAGTTTGCTGAAAGGCATTAAATGGGCTGTTAAAAAGAAAAAAAAATAAAGGATTNCATTCCCAACCACATACATCACTACAATGCATTTATGCACACATAATTAAATTCTATGTTCAGCTATGTTTATCAGATTTGGATTAATGTTATTGAAATTAGCAAGTCCCAAAACATACAAGTTATAATACAGTAGAGCGTCGGTTATCTGAAGGAATTCCAATCAACAAATTTAAATTTTCGCCAGTGCTGTGGCGCTGTAATCTTTGGTTATGTCTTCGGCTACTCAAATATTTTACGTTTTAGATACTAAATTAACTTCTGAAGTATAATTTTTTATTGTTTTTATATTTTTCAATATATTTATTTTGTTTGTACAAAATAAAAAAATTAATTTTTAACGATAGAATAGTCTTCATTAGGCTTAACATCGACAAAAATTCAACACGAAGCGACACGCAACAGAGAAAAATTTCAACACGGAATAAATTAATATATTTTTTTGTACATAATTGGTTATCCGAACAACTCCAATTGATTCGGATAAACGATGCTCTGCTGTATATTATAAAAGCTTTGTTTATTGTAATCAGAATTTGGTATTATCATCATTATATTTTGGTAAACAGGCTCTTTTTTATGTTTTCTTTTCATGCTAGCAACCTTAACATGTGTCTGATAACAAGAAATCATTATAAGTTATTGTTATCAGCCTTAACCAGTGCTTTAAATTAATTATTATTTTTACATTTTTCGCATAACTAATTTTATATATTGTTACATTAAAGCTATGCTTTGATATAACAGTATATAAAAATTAGCTTTAATGTAACGTATATAAAAATACATTCTACAATGTTTATTTAAATTTAAAGTTTAAAAGGAATCTCCTCGTCTAGAGTACGGACTCCTATTCAATTGTGCTACCTGAACTCTTTTGTTGGCAGCTAATCGCCACAAAATAAAGCTTTCATTAATTATTGTGAAAGATTGCAAATGTAAGCTTCAGGCCTGTTTAAATATCTTGAGATAATGTTAAATTCATAGGGACATAGATTATAGAATATTTTGTCAGTTGCTAAATAAAATACTCAAATAGTCTATAGGAATCTATTGTATTTTTTATTAAATGTTTTGTGTTCTAAATGTTTGATGATCTGTTCATCATCATCATCATCATCATCCGACTGAAGTCAAGGAATGCCAAAAATGTTTAGTAAAAAATATTAGACGGCTATAAGAAGGCTGGCTATTTTATTTATTAATAAGGAGCTGTTACTAAAACTTAATAATTATGTTTTATTTAGGAACCAAGTTATGTTAAAATGTTAAAAATTTGTGAATCAAGTAAAATGAAATAAATTGTTTATATGGAGAAATTCCAAATTATATTTTTTTAATGAATAATTTGTGTTAAAAGTTCTGTATAAATTTGTTAATGAATGTTGATTATAGAATACCAAAATAAATTAAGAATTAGAATTATTTAATGATAATTTTAAAAATAAAATGTATTTTTGTACGTTTTGTTAATAATGCTATTATTTTAATTAATTTGTTGATAATTAATGAAATAACTTTTTGTTTAGTTATAAAGAAAGAAATCTATAAAATGATTTAAGTTTAAAACTGTCTTAAATTTTCTTTATTATTAATAAATAAATTATCCAGTTGAAAATGCTAAAGAAAATGTATTTAGATATAAAATAATTCTGAGTTAAATTTTTTTTGAGCAATTAATCAAATTTGTTGGATTTAAAAATAAATAGAAGTAGCATCATCATTCATGTAGAAAGAATGAATGCAAAGTTATAAATTTTCAACTATAGAGAATTCAACTGTTCTTGGCAACAGTTAGTAAAAAAAAATAAACCATAGGGTGGGAATCCTTATTCACTTATCAATTCACCTCTATGGCAATTACAGTATCTGTAAACAGTTTACTTATATGGAGAATACAGCTTACAGTTAATTACACCGTATACAGAGTATTTTTGTAGCTTAAAATCATTGCTTCTAAATTGAGATGAATATATGTTCATTACTTCTGTTGGCTTTTCCCCATTTTTAATTTAATTTACCACAAATTTTGATAATTTTTTATTTGAAGAAAATTGAAACAAGTCAAGTTTCCTTTGTCATACAGTCATGCATATAGAAGTATATTACCATATTTAAAATATGATTGAGCAAAGTATTGCTAGTGTACAGTCTAAGTTATTTTCTTTGGCAGAAATGGTTTTCTGTTAGTTATTTCTATCTTCACTATTTTGTTAGTTTTCCTTATCTGATGCTAGTGTTGCTATGTTTTCAGTGGCAGCTGTAATTACCTCTATAGTTTAAATAATTTTTATTTGAATAATAATGTTTATATATATAGATTCATTGTTAGTTTATCTAATGAAAGTTACATGACTGTTTTGTTATATGATACTTTATTTGATTTGATTTNAGCTTCGACCGGAACAACAAGCGATCAAAGTGACGACAAAGTATTTTTGGTCACTAGTTGATCTCTAGTCATATTTTTTTTTTTTTTTTTTTTTTTTTTGAAAACAGAAAAATTGCTTTAATTAATATTTTGGTGTGTCATTACTATTTTACTCAAGGGAAACTGCATGGAAGACTTGGAAGTTACTCTGGAGCAAATAAAAATGAATTAAGAACACTTTACAGTTATAGTTCCTTTTAAAGCAGGGACATATCCAGGAGAGAGACTTAACTCTAAACATGAAATTGGTCAAAATTGGCTTAATCTGTTTGAAATGAAATTGGCTGAAGGGAAAGTTGTTTGATTGGTTTTACTATAAAAATTCCTCTTGTGACCTGAGGAATAAAAACAATTTTGTCTCCTGGTATATAGAAATAAGTTTTCAGAGCTTGAAGAGTTAAGGTGCTGCAGCATTCCACTGATGCCAAAACAATCAGTTTTGTTAGTTTAAAATAAAAATCAATATAATAATGAACATTGTATGACTTCAATTAGGTAAGATTACATAAGTAACATAATTTAATTGAATAACATTCTCCAAAAAATTATGGAGGCACATGCCACGATTTCCCCAAATCTGCCTTGAGCAGCACCCATATTTTCAAAATCCTGGATATGCCACTGTCCTAAGGTGTAAAAGAAATGTATGTTCCAAAAATCTAACAACTATTGTATTTATGTTCTGATATTTGTTACTTTTTGTTTTTATTCTGTTTTTGTTTTAATTACCTGAAAATAATGTAAATATTATTGAAAGTACTAGTAATTATATCTGTATAATTTTACAAGTTTTTGTTATTTGAGTATATTTAATAACTTTAACATCATAAGACAGTTACATACTTTAATTAATATTTTTTTAATGTATAAATTTATTATTCTATTAAATGCAGATTTGTTTCTTACTATTACAGATGGTTACACTTCAAAATTACCCTATATAGATAGACAATAAATTTTATATATTTATTTACTAATATAAGTTTTTCTCTTAATTAGTTGGTACTTTGGTCCATTATCAAGACAAGAAGCAACTGATTTACTAACTCAAAAGGAATCTGGAATTTTCCTTATTAGAAACAGTATCAGCAGTCAGGGTGATTTAGTTTTGTGCGTTAAGTAAGTATTCATTAAAGTAAGTTGTTTAGTTTGGCATAATTAGCAATTAAGAAATTTTTTCTTAGAAATAAAATGAAATATTTATTATACTTTATTTGTAAGAAAATATATTTTTATTTTAATTATATCTAACAATAAGTAGTAAAATTAAAATTTCAGATTATATTCTTATTTACATCAATAATAATAATAATTAATATGTCCTGCTTGATTGATTTAAATGTATTAAATGTGGAATAACTTAAATAAATGAAATATTCCTTATTGCTTATATTTATTAAAAAATAAATAATGTAACAATTGTAAGATGATCATTTGATTTTATTTAATGGATTCCAAAAGTAACAATAAAAAAATTGTTAAAATTACAATTAATATTAATTGACTTACAAATTCTGTTGATTTTCAATTAAAATAAAATATTGATACAATTTACACAAAAGTTACAATATTATTGCATGTACTGTACTTGATTGCCTCTTATTTTCATTTTAATTATTAGGAGTAAGCATAAGATTGCTTGACAGAATGATTCACAAACTTTTGCCATTCAGGTAATTTTGTGTTTGTTATAACTTTATGTATATTTTTAACTAACTTCAATTTTATAACGTTTTTGATGTAAAATAAAGAGGATTGATGAGGGACATACAGTCCAAAATGTAAATCTTCCATAATTAATAAACCTTGTATATCTGTCTTTGTTATGTGTTCTTGTGTGGTTTGTTTTCTCAAGCAATCTTATGCTTGCTTCTAACAATATTATTGGTCTTTCAACAAATTTTAGTGGGTGATTATAATTTGAATGTGTCAGACTTTTGAAAAGCAATAATATTCGTTATGATCTATTACAATATAAAACAATAATTTTTCAGTAAAAATATATACATTTTTAGATTAATAATTTTCAATGAACTGTAAATTAATGGCAATTTTTTAATTAATATTTTTATTTTTTGACAGAGAAGACAATAAAATTAGTCATTATATTATAAATAGAATTCTTCAAGGAGATCAAGTGAGGTTCAGAATTGGTGATCAAGTGTTTCCTGATATTCCTTCTTTATTAAACTTTTACAAGTTACATTATCTTGATACAACTCCATTAATAAAACCAGTATGTATAACTTATCAATTTTGAAATATATGATTGGATTTAATTCATTAAACATATTTTTAGTATTTATTGACATTACAAAATTCTTTTGATTTATATAGAGATTATTTTATCCTTTTCAAATAATGCAGAAAAGGTTTAAAGTAACTGTTTTTCAAAAATAACAGAAAAGTTACTATATATATCTTACTTTTACTTTAATTAACCTTTAGTCCCTTTATATTTAATACAATATACATAGTACAAAATTTTATTGAAGGGTTATCACACGATTGAAGCCATTTTTTCCCCCTATATGCAATCTAAAATGCATTTTGGCCTCTGGTGTTAAATGGCTCTCTCATCAGTTAAGTGATCATGTATTATATATAAAGCAAACAATAAGTTAACAATGTTACAAGACACACACAAGCATCACTAAAATAATAATAAAATGTTAAAACCAATACCCAATAAAATATTTAAATCACATACAACAACAGCTTTACAAATTACATGATAAACATTTTTAACACTGCATTATACAACACAACAAATTATCAAAAACATGTTTCACAAATATTGTTATAATAAAACATTATGGCTCAATATTTTTGTCATGCATCAATGGGCCATAATTATTTTTTCTAAATGGTTCACTTTTAACATGGTCGCATGGTATCGTGCACCACATAAAGTCATTGTACAGCTAATTTACCTTTCCCAGCTGAACAGGTATGTCAAACTTGAATGGATTATGGTGTAAGTGAAGTTTACATTGCAGATAATAAACAATGAAAAGATAAGTGAAAGATATTGGCTTAGTACATGGAGTAAGTAATGCCTATTGGTGACATATGTAATTGGTAATACAAGAATGTGTTAAAATTTGGCATGCCCCTTCAGCTGGGAAAGGTAAATTAGTTGTACTGTACAATGGCTTTAAGTGGGGCATGATACCATCAGAGCTAACCTAGCAATTATGCCACCCTGGGCAAGTTAGTTATTTACTGCCATCTTTTAAATATAAGCATAGTGTAATTTTAACAAAGATAAACCTATCCTAATAGGATGAGATTTTAATGCCAAGTCTGCAACCTGCCATAGTCCAAAAGATGACCCTAGGAGTAACTTAGTTAACGAAACCATGGCCCAACACAACCTTACTCACTTGAACACTAGCACCCTTCCAATCTACTCCTGTACCACAGGGGAAGTTGGATCAACCTAACGTTAGGAAATAGTCAAATCATCCCTAGAGTCGATCACTATTACACCACTGACATAGATTCTGCCAGTGACCATAGGTATATCTTCATCCAACTGAACACTATTAGTAATACTAATAATCATAGTTTTCACTACATTTGCACTAACTGGCAATTATTCCGCGACATTTTCAATAACATTTGGGCTGGTACCCCTCACTACAGTCACTATACTCAGGACACATTAGACAATCTTGTCACCAGGCTTACAAATACAATCACTAACCCTGTTATTGCCTCTGAAGTCAAACATTGTAAACACAAAAAGGTTCCTTGGTGGACCACTGAGCTAGAAAACAAGAAAAAAGTTATTAGGAGATTAAGGAGGCAATTTAGGAATGAACAGGACCTGAACATTAAAGTCACACTTAGAGACCAGTACAGGCATGAACACAATGCTTACAAAACCCTTATAAATAAAACAAGGACTAACACTTGGAAGGATTTCTGTATCAACACTTGTGGTCACAATTCCTGGTCTGAACTGTACTACTTAGCTTGTAAGAAAAACTCCAGCTTCAAACCCTCTCCACTATCCAGCTCCCCAATGGTCCTACACCAACAACACGGAAGAAACTATGACACACATCCTCACCAGCCTTTACCCCTTTGGATGACCCACAGCAGGATGACAATATACAAGCGGTTGTCAAGAGTTCTACACTCACTCCACCTAATACAGACAATGACCACAACTTCACCTACATCAAGGTTTTGAATGCTATCTGTTTGCTCACAGATAACAAAGCCTTGCTTTGTTATCTGTGAGCAAACAGGTCTTGACAGTGTAACCACTAGGATGATAAAACACGTGTTTGAGGCCAATCCTATAGTGTTTGTTATTCTCTTCAATATCTGCTTGGACACTGGCCTTTTTCCTACTCAGTGGAAAAAGGCTACTGTCAAATTGATTCTCAAACCCACCAGCAATAACACTTACAAAAAAATACAGACTGATCTGCCTTCTCCCAACTCTGGGAAAAGTGTTAGATGGTATAATGATTAATAGGATCACATGGCATCTACGCAAGTGTAGAGCCCTGCAACAGAATCAGTTCAGCTTCTCTAAATACAAAGGTACTGTACAGTAGATGTCATCCATCAGGTCGTTAACTACATCCACCAGACTAAACAAAACAATCAGCATACCACAATTATCACTATTGACTTTAGAGGTGCTTTCGATCATGTCTGGTGACCTTCTATCTCTTATATGCTCATCACTGTCCTCAAAATCTTTACAAACTTCTTCAATCCTATCTTAGCAACAGGAATGCAGGTGTTTATATAACATGAAATAGCATAGTCATATCTCGAGGCTGTCCTCAGGGATCCAGGTCTGGCCCTGGTCTCTGGAACATCGCCTATAACTCTATTCTGGACTTAAATGACACCCTACCTCCTGGCTGCTGCATACAGGGCTATGCGGACGACACAATTATCCTAGCTTCACACAGGAACACTGAGAACTTACAGGGCATATGCAATGACTTTCTCAATAACATTCACCAAAGGAGTATTAAGCATAGGCAACCCATTAACACAGACAAATGCGAAACCATGATAGTTGGTAGGAATGCGCCACTTGTCAGGAAGCTTACCCTTCAAATAGGTGCTCACAGAATAAATCAAACAATGGAAATGAAATATTTAGGCATTATTCTTGATGAGCGACTTAATTTTACACCCCACACAAAATACATCACGGACAAAGCTAAAAACACGGCCAAGCCCTCATTAGTAATGTTAGGAACACATGGAACCTTGGCCCTAATGCTACTAAGCTTATTTACAGGGGTGCAATTCAGCCAGCACTCCTTTATGCCGTTCAGGTCTGGGGCCACGTGGCTGCCAAAGTCCATAATTGTAAAAAACTGTTATCTGCTCAAAGGTTTGCAACTCTCTGCATTTGTAAGGCTTATAGGACTGCACCCACTAGTGTGGAAAATCTCATCATCTTACCCTGGTGAGATTATAGTGACTCAGATGGCGACAAAATGATTACAGTAGGTAAGATTCCTTCCAGTTTGACCTTGATCAATGATATCAGAAAATTCAGCATCAATAAAAATACCCTCCTGACTTACGATTACCACCCCTTCCTATCAGCTTGCTCCTGACATTTATTTTGAAGATCCAGATGATCATCCCATGTTTAGGATTTACACTGACGGTTCCAAGATGGGTGATGATGTGGGTGCCGCCGCTTTTGTAGTTTACTCTGACATAGGCCACGAACTTTACAATGCATGCTTTTGTCTAGGTTCATACTGCTCATTAGCACAGACCTAAACTTTAGCTATTTATATGAGCTTAATTCACATTAGGCATAGGAAGGACAAAAGACACTACTTACACTATTACATTTATTCTGACAGTAGGGTAGCTTTACACAGGATTGTGAAGTCTGATAGCCACTTAAAACTCGTGCATCTCATACACCACATTCTCAGACACTTAGACAACAACATTAGAATAATTTCCACTGGGTCGTGCAGGGATTCTTGGCAACAAGATTATTGACCGTCTTGCCAAACAAGCTGAAAAGTCTTCAGTCACTAGTACTTTCAGTTGCATTTCTATCACGTACATCAACAATCACGTCAAGAAGCAAATCTTCATTCTCTGGCAGGACAGCTGGGACTGTGACACCACTCCCACAGTCCCATTGTCACAGTCCCAGCTGTCCTGCCAGAGAATGGTAGGTTTACCTACACTTTCATCCCCAAGGTTGACACTACTGCGATTCTTCATCACTTTTACCCTAGTTACACCCTCACTCAGCTAATTACAGGACATGGCAACTTTAAGCAATACTTGCATAGATTTAACCTTGGGGACAATCCACAATGAAATTTGTGATATTCAGGAGGACCAAACACCACTTCACTTAGTTTATAGCTGCAATAGGTACAATCACATTAGGGATAGTTTAATGAGAGCTGCTATTCTTGAAGGGTACAACTGGCCTTGCAATCCACACCAACTCATTCACATACGTACAATGTTCCATCATCTACTCACATTTATATCTTTTAGTGGGGCTCTTGAGAGCATTCACTCCAGGGGCACGGATGGCAATTAGATTTTCCTTGCTTTGTTTCAACTGTCAGTATATAGCTGCCTTTTAACTTTGTATTTTAATTCTTTTTTCTGTCTTCTCTTTCAGTCTAAATTCAGTTAGTCCTAATTGTAGGTTAGATTAGGGACTCTTAGCTTGGTTTTCAATTAGGATATGATAGGTTAGGTTAAATTAGATTATGATTTGTTAACTTTAGTCCTCTGGTTAGGTTCGTCCTAGGTTATGGTAGGTTAGTTTAGTTAGGTTAGTTTAGTTAGTGAGTAAGTTAATGTTTAAAAATAAATAAATAAATAATAAAATAAAAAAAATTGGGGTCTTGCCCGTTTGTCTCTGTCGGTCTGTTTGTCTCATCTAGTTTGTCATTGTGTTCGTTTCTTTTTCATGCTGTCTGTCTAGCTGTTAAGTAGTATTAAGATTCATGATCACGTACAGTTTTATTAGTATAAAGTAGATATGTCTTTATAGTAGGAAGACTTATATCTACTTAATATTAACAGCCACTTGGCACTAACTTATACACTTATTTATTCGTGGCAGCACTCAATTATTGGTGTTTGCTACACTCAGGTTTTCTTTCGGACTCTTTGGGGAACTATGGCCTTGCAGCCTAAAAACTGCATGCCAACATCAAACATAGAGGGTACTGTAGCCATATGTACACCATTCAGAGG